GAGCCACTCGGTATACCAACTCAGTGGGGAAAGGGTTAATTAAGGAATCTGTCTGAAGTTCAACTAATTATTCCCAACATCTTAAGGTGTCAAAACAGCACAGGGATATAGAGAATTGTTTACCAGTTACCACGGGATTAGGCAGAGAGTAAAACATTCCCAAAAGTTAACAATAGAAACTAGGCAAACATGGCAGGTTGTGGGGAAGGTTCTGAAAAAAAACTCTTTATTGAGGAGAAGACTTATGGCTCTAGGTAGAGGCTGGCTATCAAAACAACGACTGATATGCTAATTGAGCCACCTGGCTTCTAGACCACAACATGGTGGAGCTATCATAACATTGGTCAGTAACATGTGTGGGTGAGGGGAAGAAAAGAAAGAGAGGACAGAGGAGGATATCCAGTCAGAGGAGACATGGAGTGAAGGTCAAAGACGGATGAGGAAGAGTAGGCGGGGCCACCCCACGGAGGACTCAGGAATACCACATCCACTGCCTGAGAGGTGAGGGGAGGGAGGGAGGGAGAGGAGAGGTGTGCAGTCAGGTGATGGTGCATTGAGTAGGGTACACTGAATCAGTCACTATAAATAACAAGACAGTTTCCATATGAAAACAGGAGGGTCATTCCAAAAACTATCATTGAATGCACCAACCCCCCCCAAAACACCCCACTTGAAGTTGTGTAAAACAGACCAAGCACAATAGCAATAGTAAAGCAACAGCTGGTTCTCACTAGTGGTGGCTACTATAATTATAGAGACCTTGAGGTGTGGTACTAATACGAGGTAGTCTCCCACCAGGAACTCTATGCGGTCGGCCACTCCATATAACTCGGCATTTCTACGTGCACAGGCAATCTTGACTGGGTCTATGTCGATGGCAATCACTGCAGGGAAGAGAGGGAGGGAGGGAGGGTAAGAGGGAGATGATTTTGCTGGCAGAGACGTGGGGCACAGTGGTTGCCACAGCAATTAACACAGAGTTTTTTCATACAAGTGCTGGGACAGTGGACTAGTTCGTAAGTGATTGGAATTTGTGGGATCTATCTAATGTACAAAAATTTGTTCCCACCTTGTCGCTCTTACCACACATGACAATTGAGGCTCAACTTACTAATATTTAATTAAGGGTCAACGTAATTCACACAATGCTCCAAATCTTGATTCAGCCACACAGGGTGAGGCGAGGTAAGCAATACCGTCGACCAACCTCTTTCACAGGTGAAGGCAAACTGAATGGAGTTGCTCCCAGTCCCACAGAATGCATCAAGGATGAGGTCACAACGACATCGCTCAGCCAAATGCTGCGCTATCTTCTCTGGAGTGGCACTAAACCAACCCTCTGGAGAACATCTGACTGGGAACATGATGTAATGGTGACATCATACCTCTGTCGAGACAGACTCCGTCGTCATAGCGAGAGAACAGACGGAAGCGCTGGCTCCAGTACTTGGCCAGCTGGCCCGAGGGGGAGAGATGGGGGCGTGGCAGCAGCTCGTCAAGGGGGAGTGGGTCTTCCTGCGTACTCTCTGACCCCTGTTCCTCCCAGACCCTGCCCCACCTCCTCATCCTTCTCAATCTCTTCCTCTTCTTCCTCACTCCCCTCTCCAACCTCCCCACTGCTCACAACCTCACTATCTACAATGTGCAGGTATAACAGAGAGCAGTGGCAGTCCACACATTGTCAGCTAATTGGCTTGTTCCCTGGGGACATCCCTGAGCTCAGCTGAGCAAACACCTCTCACTCTGGGAGTGTATATAGTGAGTAGGTAGGTTTTGGTTATAGCAGGGTACTTGTTTGAGCGCCTTGTGTGCTACAACCCACAGTGGCACCATAGGCAAAATATGTGAAGGGTTGTCTTAAGTGTTTTACTGTCAAAATATCCCCAATAAAGAACGTAACACTGCTCACCTTCAGCAGTGGGTGTGTCCTCCTCACTGCCACTGCTCTCCTGCCTGGCCTGGGAGGTCGTAGCCGGTCCCTTCTTTTTCTTTTTCTTTTGTTTCCTCCTATTACTCTTCTTCCTATGCTTCTTCTCGCTGGCCCACCCCCCTTTTCCCACCTCCCCCACCCCCCAGGTCAGTTTCAGAGATACCGGGACAGCTGCATCCTCTCTGAGGACACACACACAGAGAGGAGGTGTGGCTGATGAATAATTCATGAGCTGCTCACCGGAAGTCCTGTGACACTATCTCCAGCTTGTTGCACTGTATGCGGATGTCTCTCCTCTTTGCCAGTCTGGAGGAAACCAGTGATTGTCAAAAACAAAAACCTCTGCTATAATATAGTGAAATTACACAACAACAGAGCTCCAGTTATAAAGAGGAGAGGAGGAGGGGAGGAGAGATAAGTGGAGGTAGTGGTGAAATAAAGAGGAGAGGAGGAGGGGAGGAGAGATAAGTGGAGGTAGTGGTGAAATAAAGAGGAGAGGAGGAGGGGAGGAGAGATAAGTGGAGGTAGTGGTGAAATAAAGAGGCGAGGACTCACAAGCCGCCTTGTTTGTTGTTGCATGGTATAGTAGGAAATCAGCTTGCAATTCTTGTTGTTGCGATGTATTGGCTGGTACCCAACCTGAACAGCCATAGTTGTCGAGCTAATGTGCGTGTGTCGTCTGCAGAGTGCAGTGACGAAGACGTGCGGCTATTTACCAGTTTTGGGGACAACGATGAGATCTCCGCTGCACTGGACGGTGTGCTGGGAGACGTGCACGGAATTCTAGAGATCTGCGAGAATGAGCTCTGGAAGAGCGGCGTGTTGTGCCTGAATGAGGGAGACTTAGAAGGAGAACAGTGGACGACGGAGAACACTGCAGTTGCCTGCAGGGAACTAGGGATATCCTGCTCCAGGTATGCATAGTGAGTAGTGATAGCTATAGCTAGGAATGTAATATTCATATCATGGCTCTCCTCTATAGGTGAATCTGGAGTTTATGATATCCAGACGACAGTGGAAAACAAGAGACTCTCGTACATTCCTCAGTGTATGGGGAGTGAGGAGAGACTGAGAGACTGCACTACTGTAGATCATAGGTGACAGTTGTGATGCTCCACTAGTTATCAGCTGTTGGAACAGCTCGCAAGTCACAACTATTCAAACTCCTGTGACATTACTGAGAAGCACATCTTCACTAGTCTCCTCTGGTCTTACACAAACATCAACGTTGTATTCAGTCAAGCAATCCTCCTCTCTCTTCCTATTTTCTGGAGACTGCCTCATGTCAGACACCATCAGCACTACTGTCCTCCAGCCCTCTCCCCACACCACCCACTGGAGCCAGTACCAGTGGTGAGAGGTGTTGGCTGATGTTTGTGTATGGTGTACTGGTAGGAGCAGTAGTGGGAGCTGGGATAACAGGATCTCTGGCTCTCTGCTGTCTGATTCTCAGAAAGAGAAACATCCAGTCAAATGAAAAACTTTCAGGTGAGGTTTTCAAACAAACACAGTCAGCTAAACTTGTTTGTTGCTGCACGGAATTGTTGTTGCAATGTATTAGCTGGTACCCAACCTGATGATTATATAGGTGAAGGAGATGAAATGGAGAGGAACCCAGCCTACCAGACCTCTGCCTCCCTCATTCCCTCCTCCTCCAACCCTTCATATGCTGGACTCAACGTGACTGCTAATGCACACGTCTACGAAGATGTTTCCGCCCTCTAAAGCCATTTTGTGCGCATGCGCGTTTTGTTGCGCATGCTTGCTGCTCGTTCAGCACTATTATTGTGGTTGCAGAGCAGAAGAATGAGGTCTCAGGTACTGGCGGCATTACTCCGCGTTCTACTAGTCCGAGGAGCTGGTCCTGAGGATCCATCTCCTGGTGAGATCTCGCAACTGCCATAGTTGTCGAGCTAATGTGCGTGTGTCGTCTGCAGAGTGCAGTGACGAAGACGTACGGCTATTTACCAGTATTGCGGACAGCAATGCAATCTCCGCTGCACTGGACGGTGTGCTGGGAGACGCGCATGGAGCTCTCGAGATCTGCGAGAATGAGCTCTGGAAGAGGTCGTGTTATGCAACGAGGGAGTTGAGCAATGGACGATGGAGAACACTGCAGTTGCCTGCAGGGAACTGGGATATCCTGCTCCAGGTATAAGTGATATATAGCTACAGCTAGGAATGTAGTATTCATATCATGGCTCTCCTCTATAGGTAAATCTGGAGCTTATGATATCCAGATGACAGAGGGAGACAAGAGACTGTCTTACATTCCTCAGTGTATGGGGAGTGAGGAGAGACTGAGAGACTGCACTACTGTAGATCATGGTGACAGTTGTGATGCTCCACTAGTTATCAGCTGTTGGAACAACTCGCAAGTCACAATTATTCAAACTCCTGTGACATTACTGAGAAGCACATCTTCACTGGTCTCCTCTGGTCTTACACAAACATCAACTTTGTACTCAGTCAAACAATCCTCCTTCTCTTCCTATTTTCTGGAGACTGCCTCATGTCAGACACCATCAGAACTACTGTCCTCCAGCCCTCTCCCCACATCACCCACTGGAGCCAGTACCAGTGGTGGGAGGTGTTGGCTGATGTTTGTGTATGGTGTACTGGTTGGAGCAGTAGTGGGAGCTGGGATAACAGGATCTCTGGCTCTCTGCTATCTGATTCTTAGAAGGAGAAACATCCAAAAACTTGCAGGTGAGGTTTTCAAACAACATATATACCTACTCAGCATAACTTCTTTTTCGCTGCATGGAATGGTAGAGCATTAATTTTCATTTCCGCGCGAATGGACCATTGCACATACATGTTGGAGAGTTAAGTAGCAAAGATTATACTAATTGTGTATTATGTGGTCATTCAGTGGTACATACCCAACCTGGTGCAGGTGAAGGAGATGAAATGGAGAGGAACCCAGCCTACCTGACCTCTGCCTCCCTCATTCCCTCCTCCTCCAACCCTTCATATGCTGGACTCAACGTGACTGCTAATGCACAAGTCTACGAAGATGTTTCAGCCCTCTAAAAGAGGCGTTTTGTACGCATGCGCGTTTGTTGCGGCAATGCGCTTGTATTTGCTCGAGACTCTACTCTAGTTCAGCACTACTGCGTAGATAGTGGTGGCGGAGCAGAAGGATGAGGTCTCATGTGTGGTCTCTACTGGCGGCATTACTCCGCGTTCTACTAGTCCGAGGAGCTGGTCCTGAGGATCCCTCTCCTGGTGAGATCTTGCAACTGCCACAGTAGTTGTCGAGCTAGTGTCGTGCGCCTTCTACAGAGTGCAGTGACAGAGACGTACGGCTATTGACCCGTTTTGGGGACAACAATGCGATCTCCGCTGCACTTGACGGTGTGCTGGGAGACGTGCACGGAACTCTCGAGATCTGCGAGAATGAGCTCTGGAAGATGGTCGCGTTGTGCAACGAGGGAGTTGAGCAATGGACGATGGAGAACACTGCAGTTGCCTGCAAGGAACTGGGATATCCTGCTCCAGGTATAAGTGATATATAGCTACAGCTAGGAATGTAGTATTCATATCATGGCTCTCCTCTATAGGTAAATCTGGAGCTTATGATATCCAGATGACAGAGGAAGACAAGAGACTGTCTTACATTCCTCAGTGTATGGGGAGTGAGGAGAGACTGAGAGACTGCACTACTGTAGATCATGGTGACAGTTGTGATGCTCCACTAGTTATCAGCTGTTGGAACAGCTCGCAAGTCACAACTATTCCCTCTCTCACTATTTCGTCTCCAACTCGATTCACCTCTTCAGTCAGCAAACCAGCAGTCTCCCCTCCAGTCTCCTTGATGGAGTCATCAACCACTGCAGTCTCTACCACAGAACTACAGCAGCCCAGCCTGACAACTGGTCCTGCCTCCACTCCAGACACTGACTCTCCATCCACTGACACTGGTACCACTGACAATGGTACCACTGCACCACAGGCCCTCGTCTATCTGGCGGCTGCAGTGGGGACTGTGGTGGCTCTGCTGCTAGTATCAATAGCTGGGGTGGTCCTCTACCTCGCCTGCCACAGGAGGGAGAAAGTGAGGCCCCAGAATGAGCCGTATGAGGTCCCAGTCACCACAGCCGCGAGGAACCAGACCTTCCAGGAGGTGCCAGAGACAGAGGTTCTCTACGACAGAGCCACCTCACCTCAATCCAGAGGGAAGACAGCCAGGAGTACCACACTCTCAATCACTCTCTCTCCCCCAGCAAACCATCTCCTCCTCTCAGTAGTCACTCAACCGGCAGCTCCACTGGTCCTCCTCCAGTATATGCCACCGTGGCCCCTCCAGGCTCGTCTCAGGCCAATCCAGCCAGGGATCCCCCCACTCAGAAACCTCCGGTCTACTACCACGTACTGCAGAGCCCCACAGAGAGGGCAGAGGAGGTGAAATATCACACTCTAGAGGAGCCAGCGGGCCACGTCCTAGAGCAGCAGGAGAGTGGAGGGGTCAACCCCAGTGGAGGTCCAGCAATGTACAGTGAGGTGGGGCAGAGACGAGCTGCCACTCTGCAGCCACACCGACAGGCACCCTCCTCCTCCTCCTCCTCAAACCTCACCATCTCCCTGCCCAGAAACATCTCGGGATCAACTACACTGCTGTAGGCCCCACTACACATAGGACTCATCTGACATCTGGCAGAACAGGCATCAAATTTCGTGTATGCATTTACGTTGGCCGTGTGTACCTGCGCATTAGCGTGTGTATGTCGTGCACTAATGTAGATGTGTGTGTGTGTGTGTGTGTGTGTGGGTGGCAATCAAGGGCTGTGTGCTGCATTTCTCACACGCACACACACACGGTTAGCATGCAGGGTTTGCTCAGTGCACTGCTTGGGCAGCCAGCACCCTGAAACAGCTGACCTGATCTAGGTTGGTGTTCCGTGGCAGGTAGAACGCTATGTCCTCGCAGACATCACGAGCCACTCGGTATACCAACTCAGTGGGGAAAGGGTTAAGGAATCAGTCTGAAGTTCAACATTATTCCCAACATCTTAAGGTGTCAAAAACAGCACAGGGATATAAAGAATTGTTTACCAGTTACCATGGGATTAGAGATAAAACATTCCCAAAAGAAACTAGGCAAACATGGCAGGTTGTGGGGACGTTTTGAAAAAAAACTTTTTATTGAGGACAAAGACTTATGGCTCCAAGGTAGAGGCTGGCTATCAAAACAACAACTGATATGCTAATTGCAGCCACTTGGCTTCTAGACCGCAGCGTGGAGCTATCATAACATTGGTCAGTGTGTGTGGGTGAGGGGAAGAAAAGAAAGAGAGGACAGAGGAGGATATCCATTCAGAGGAGACATGGAGTGAAGGTCAAAGACGGAGGAGGAAGAGTAGGCGGGGCCACCCCACGGAGGACTCAGGAATACCACATCCACTGCCTGAGAGGTGAGGGGAGGGAGGGAGAGGGAGAGGAGAGGTGTGCAGTCAGGTGATGGTGCATTGAGTAGGATACACTGAATCAGTCACAAGGTTTCCATATGAAAACAGGAGGGTCAATCCAAAAACTATCATTGAATGTACCAACCCCCCCAAAAAACACCCCACTTGAAGTTGTGTAAAACAGACCAAGCACAATAGCAATAGTAAAGAGTCCAACAAGCAACAGCTGGTTCTCACTAGTGGTGGCTACTATAATAGAGACCTTGAGGTGTGGTACTAATGTGAGGTAGTCTCCCACCAGGAACTCTATGTGGTCGGCCACTCCGTATAACTCGGCATTTCTACGTGCACAGGCAATCTTGACTGGGTCTATGTCGATGGCAATCACTGCAGGGAAGAGAGGGAGGGAGGGAGGGAGGGTAAGAGGGAGATGATTTTGCTGGCAGAGACGTGGGGCACAGTGGTTGCCACAGCAATTAACACAGAGTTTTTCCATACAAGTGCTGGGACAGTGGACTAGTTCATAAGTGATTGGAATTTGTGGGATTCCGTCTTTTGTATGACAATTCCAAATCTAATGTACAAAAATGACAATTTCCAAATCTAATGTACAAAAATTGTTCCCACCTTGTCGCTCTTATCACACATGACAATTGAGGCTCAACTTACTAATAAATTATTTACCCTCGGCGCGCATGCGCAGCGAGGGTTACTGTAGTTGGGTTTGTCTGTGTGTGTGTGTGTGTGTGTGTGTGTGTCTGTTACTCTACATCTCACCTCTCGAATGTCTGTTCGTCCCAAAAACGATACCATCTACCCAACGGGCGACGAAGGTCAGAAAATAAAGGCGGTTTTCTCTGAAAATGCTCCGTTGCAAAGCTAGAGCGAGAAAAAGCCAATATGCAAATACACAACGGCTTACCAAGTCGGATCGATCCGCGTGATCTGCGTACTTCGGAGGCACCAGAAGATGCAACGCAGGGCGTGTATCGCCTCTCGCATGCTATCTAGTAGTGTAGTTAGCCCGCGTCAGACTCTGCGCGAGCTGGCAGGAGACCACGAGTAACAGCTAAAACTAAACCCAGTCCATCAATTAGTGGTGCTGCGCATGCGTTTACTTACGCGTGCGCGTCACAGTACGCCGAGGGTTTGCACTTCAGTGCTTTTCATTAATTAAGGGTCAACGTAATTCACACAATGCTCCAAATCTTGATTCAGCCACACATGGTGAGGCAGGTAAGCAATACCGTCTACCAACCTCTTTCACAGGTAAAGATTATATAGGTGAAGGCGATGAAATGGAGAGGAACCCAGCCTACCAGGTGAAGGAGATTAAATGCCAGCCTACCAGACCTCTGCCTCCCTCATTCCCTCCTCCTCCAACCCTTCATATGCTGGACTCAACGTGACTGCTAATGCACAAGTCTACGAAGATGTTTCAGCCCTCTAAAAGAGGCGTTTTGTACGCATGCGCGTTTGTTGCGGCAATGCGCTTGTATTTGCTCGAGACTCTACTCTAGTTCAGCACTACTGCGTAGATAGTGGTGGCGGAGCAGAAGGATGAGGTCTCATGTGTGGTCTCTACTGGCGGCATTACTCCGCGTTCTACTAGTCCGAGGAGCTGGTCCTGAGGATCCATCTCCTGGTGAGATCTCGCAACTGCTATAGTTGTCGAGCTAATATCGTGGGACTTCTGCAGAGTGCGGTGACGAAGACGTACGGCTATTGACCGCTGCGGACAACAATGCGATCTCCGCTGCACTTGACGGTGTACTTGGAGACGTGCACGGATCTCTTGAGATCTGCGAGAATGAGGTCTGGAAGAAGGTCGTGCTGTGCTTGAACGGAAACGGAGAAGAGCTCTGGACGACGGAGAATACTGCAGTAGCCTGCCGGGAACTGGGATATCCTGCTCCAGGTATAGTCTCTAGTGGTCACTAGGAAATCAACAATCTATTATGGCTTTCTTAGGCGAGTCGGGAGCTTATGACATTCAAAGCACAGAGTCAAGTAGGAGACTCTCATACATTCCTCAATGTATGGGGAGCGAGGAGAGACTGGAGGACTGTTCTACTCTAAATCATGCTGGTAACTGTGATGCTCCGCTAGTTATCAGCTGTTGGAACAGCTCATCAGATACTTCTGTCATAATATTGATGACTAGAACACTAGTATCTTCAGTAAAACTACTGGTATCCCCAGCTTCTACACAAACATTAACTCCGTATTATTCAGTCAAACAATCCTCCTCTATAATGTACTATGATCTGGAGACTAAGCCACCATCAGAACTACCATCCTCCAGCCCTCTCCCCACACCACCAGTGGAGCCAGTACCAGTGGTGAGAGGTGTTGGCTGATGTTTGTGTATGGTGTACTGTTTGGAGCAGTAGTGGGAGCTGGGATAACAGGATCTCTGGCTCTCTGCTATCTGATTCTTAGAAGGAGAAACATCCAAAAACTTGCAGGTGAGGTTTTCAAACAACATATATACCTACTCAGCATAACTTCTTTTTCGCTGCATGGAATGGTAGAGCATTAATTTTCATTTCCGCGCGAATGGACCATTGCACATACATGTTGGAGAGTTAAGTAGCAAAGATTATACTAATTGTGTATTATGTGGTCATTCAGTGGTACATACCCAACCTGGTGCAGGTGAAGGAGATGAAATGGAGAGGAACCCAGCCTACCTGACCTCTGCCTCCCTCATTCCCTCCTTCACCAACCCTTCATATGCTGGACTCAACGTGACTGCTAATGCACACGTCTACGAAGATGTTTCCGCCCTCTAAAGCCCATTTTGTGCGCATGCGCATTCTGTTGCGGCAATGCGCATGCTTGCTCGAGACTAATTCTGCAGTTAAAAAACATGTAGGAAGCATAACACATGACTGAAGAAGGTGGGTGGGGTCCATGGTAGTCAAAGAGTCAAGTAGAGTGCACCACGAGTTGGTCACTTTTTGTGTGGTTGGTTATTACATGTTCGGCCAGAGTTGGTTTGTCCAGATCAGCTGTATCGCACAGAGGACATTTGCTGGGTGAATGATCTGGGTAGGTAATCACCCTCACATTACTCCGTGTTCTACTAGTCCGAGGAGCTGGTCCTGAGGACACCTCTCCTGGTGAGATCTCGCAACAGCCATAGTTACGGTCAAGCTAAACGTCCTGCGTCGTCTGCAGAGTGCAGCGACGAAGATTTACGGCTATTGGACAACGATGAGATCTCCGCTGCACTGGACGGTGTGCTGGGAGACGTGCGCGGAATTCTCGAGATCTGCGAGAATGAGCTCTGGAAGAGCGGCGTGTTGTGCCTGAATGAGGGAGACTTAGAAGGAGAACAGTGGACGACGGAGAACACTGCAGTTGCCTGCAGGGAACTGGGATATCCTGCTCCAGGTTTGGCCAGTGTCAGTGTGGTAGTGATAGCTATAGCTAGGAATAGTATTCATATCATGGCTCTCCTGTATAGGTGAATCTGGAGCTTATGATATCCAGATCATAGAGGACAGCATGAGACTGTCATACATTCCTCAGTGTATGGGGAGTGAGGAGAGACTGAGAGACTG